ACCCTAAATGTCACATATCCCCACACCTGTGCATGAACCCTAAAGGTCACACATCCCCACACCTGTGCATGACCCTAAAGTTCACACATCCCCACACCTATGCATGACCCCTAAAAGTCACACATCCCAGCATTTGTGCATGACCCCTAAAGGTCGCACATCCCGGCATTTGTGCATGACCCCTAAAGGTCGCACATCCCGGCATTTGTGCATGACCCCTAAAGGTCGCACATCCCAGCATTTGTGCATGACCCCTAAAGGTCGCACATCCCAGCATTTGTGCACATTGTTGGGGTATTGTCATACAACAGCAATAATTTCCATGACTATATTTAAGTTGTTCTAGATTAAACTGTCAATGACAGCTGCTTGAATTTTTCTTTTCAAAATATAATAACATTCTTATTTTATATATTGAAATTTTACATAGACCAGTATAATAATCAAATGTGTGTTGCCAAAACCAAAATAAGTTATACAGTCTCTTACAGCTAGCATTTGAATTGTGTAAACCAACATGTTGTACATTTCTTGTATGTGTTGTTGGGGAAAAAAATGATATACATGGACAGTCGGAAAGTGTGAGACGTTACTGTAATTTGACACTATCCAACACAATTGGAATGCGCAGTGCTACCCAAGAGTAAAGTTTTATTTAACTTTTAACATACTGTTGCAATCTCCCTTTCTTTCTCTATATCTCATGGCATTACCTCAAACCCTAAACTCAACTTTTGTCAATGTTCACAAAATAAAATCTGCATAATTTGTTCCAAATATTTTTCAAAAATTAGATCAAGGCGTGTAGCCAATGGAAAAGTGAAAATGGAAACAGTATTTGGTCTAACATTAAAATAGAAATTACAAACTAATTTGTAAAATTTTGATGGAAAAATTGTGCAGATGAAAGAGTTATCACATGACCTGCTGAAAGCCTCTGTGAATAGTCAGAAATGGGAAAATAGTGTCAGCAGGTTAAGATAGCTTTTATAATGTGTAAATTTATCTAATAAATTAATTCAGATTATTAATAGTATTAGTAATTGATGGTGAAATAAATATAGAATTATGGTAATCATTAATCTTTAATATTAATATGGATATCGCATTCATGTAACATCTGTTGGATACCAAGATGTTGATGCTACTTTTGTGTGCTTCTAGACAAACACTCAAATAGTAATTTTTTCAAATATGCCAGTTGTATGTTTCATGATCACATTTTGTTTCTACCACTGATATCACTATCGTGAAAATGTTATTTATGTGGACATTAGCGTGTTAGATCTATTAAAAGCACATAATATGCTGACTTAAATGATTTGTTCAGGTAGAATTGTACTCAATATTATGCATGTGAAATTCCATGTTACAAAGATGACGAAAATCAAATGAAAATATTTTATCTTACTTGGTTCAGAAAAAATGGACATGTAACATGTCTTGTCTGTTTTGGGCATTTTATCATTTTTTTCTCTATGGCAAGCATATATCTCACAATTTGGGTTGTTGACATGGAGTGAAAAAAAAATATATATATTGTCATAGCATGTACTTGTTCATGTGTGTTTTCATTGTGGTCTGTGGAAGCCACTGCCAAATTGCAATTTTATTTATAATTTTAGACCGTTTTTTGCGACAGTGAATTAGAAAAATCCACATACTAAAACAATTAATTTTAAGCAGATTGTCAAATATTCATCTCAGTTCTGAAGATAATTCATTTGGGGAATTGGGAACTCCTACAGTATCTTTTTTGTCAGTGTGTATGTATATCCTTAACAAAAAATATCAAAATAAAGTCTGGTTGGTATCGGTGGTACATGTGGCCTTGAAACCTGCAATGGTTGATTCTAGCTGCTGCAGCACTGCAATTTGCTCTCCTGATGAAATAGTTTCTTTTAATTTGCATCTCAGCTAACACAATTATAAATGTAATATTGTCGCAGGACGCATACCAATTCTTCATCTGTATATCATCATCATCATTTATCCTCCTTTATGTGCACATTCTCTTCTCTTTTTAGTCCCCGTTCGGACGCAGTCCGAAAACGGGGACTTATGTTTTGCCCTGTGTGCGTCCGTGCGTCCGTGCGTCCGTGATCACCTGTATCTCGAACATGCATGGACCGATTAAGTTCAAACTTCACTCATACATCACACATTATATGGGACATATGCACATGCATTTTTTTCATCATCCGATTAACGATAGCCGAATAGCGGCCATTTTAAGGCCGAAAATGCATCAAAATCGCACATTTTCACCATTCCGGACCCGGATCTCAGTTATGCATGGACGGATTTTGTTCAAATTTGGTACATACATTAAACATAATAGGACCTTGATGCACGTCATTTTTTTTTTTGGATCGGGTTCGAAATGGCCGACTGGCGGCCATTTTGTTTTAAAGAATTCAGTTCTGGATCTGTATCTGAGACATGCTTGGATTGATCGAGTTCAAACTTCACACACACAAGGTACATCATGTCACAAATATGTATGTGCATTTGTTTCATGATCTCATTAACGATAGCCAAATGGCGGCCACTTTAAGGCCGAAAATGCATTGAAATCGCACATTTTCACCATTCCGGACCCGGATCTCAGTTATGCATGGACGGATTTCATTCAAATTTGGTACATACATTAAACATAATAGGACCTTGATGCACGTCATTTTTTTTTTCGGATCAAGTTCGAAATAGCCGATGATGAA